CACTTTCTTACTCACCAGGATAGAAATCGTTCTACATTCATCTTGCACTTTCCCTGCCCCAGCCTTGCAATCAGTCCAAGGAATACTGGTTTATTTTATCTGAGAATATTTAGAAACCAAGAACTGGCAGCTGGGTGTGCTCACTGCTACTAAGGTGTTCCTCTTGGGCTCTCAGTGGACAGAGCTGGGACACTCCTGCGCACACACACACAACCACATCCCCTACATTTGCATCCATTCCTGCACCTCTCTCTCTGCATGTATATTAAAACCCAAGTGTTCATAGATCACGGGGCTCATTCTAGTCTTCCCTGTCCTCATCTATCATTCTTTTCTATGATAACAAGAAACCTGGCCTTCAGTATCCACAATATATTTACTTATTTCTTCAAAATTATAACACACATAGAATATGAAAAGGAATATATGCATGTATATGTATGACTGGGACACTGTGCTGTACACCAGAAACTGACACATTGTAACTGACCGTACTTCAAGTTAAAAAAAAATTTAATATGCAGTTTCAGAAAGTCTAGCCCATATATCTGTGAAAAAGTAAAGTATGATATTTGTAGTAACTAAAATACAGTGCTTGAGTAGAGTTGTTACTGCCTTAAGAGTCTTCAGTCAAAACAGTTTTCCAAAGTTAGCTAGATTGAGTCTCACCCTCCTCAACCACGTATTTAAAGATAAAATTTAAATAGAAAAGAGAGATATTCTTATGAGGGAACAGCTAAGGGGGGCTGTGTCAAACGGGGTACCATATCCCACTTACATTAGGTTAGGTGAACTACTTAGGTAAGCTGTATCAATGAGACCCCAAACCTAAACACCATCAGAATACAATTCTTCCTGTGTGACAGCACTGGGCAAGCGGTCTCCTCCCCTCATCTGGGTCCCCAAGTATATGGACAGTCTGTCAAACACATGGCTTCCAAGGTTAGCCTGGGCACTGTCTCCACTCCAGCATGTACCCAGGGTCCAGATGGACCACAGCCAGAAGGGGCTCGCTTCCACTGGGACTCAAGTACAAGGTCACACCTAACTCCCTGAGAGGCTGGGAAGTGTAGTCGACTGCAGGTGTGGAGAGAAGAGACCAGGAACCTGTGAGTAGGTGCCCACCTTGGCCAATCGCACACACTGGCAATGCAAGGTATTCATAAGAAAAAGATCAGTTTATATTACCAAAAATTTTCAGAAAGGCTCTGATAGTAGTCTAGAAGAGTCACCATTAAGTTATTTCAGATCTCACCACACAGGTGCTTTAGGACTGTTTCGAATCTTTCAAGTTCAGAGGACTCTCACATTTCCATTCGTGTGCCACGTTTCAAAATGCCTCTGACCCTTTCTAGACACAGCAGCCCATATCACACCAGCAGGTGACTTTTATTTTAGCCCTTTATATAGGCCAGGCTTTGTGCTAAGCAATTAAATACATCTGGTTATACACATTTGCTCACACAACACGAAAATGTGCAATGAAAATGTAGCTTCCTGTGTGAACTTCCTCAAGAAGGTCCACACTTTGGGTGTCACAGAAACACCTCTAACACTGAGTGTACATGAGTGAGGCAACTCTCCTTCCGTGAGTTACCTATAAGAGACATACTTACATTCTCTTTTTAAAAAATCTAGTCTTTGAGATCTCACCTGCCACTCTAGGTCTTCTCCTAGAGGTTCTGCTGGCCCAGCAGCAGGGGGAGGCGGGGAAGGACAGCACAGGGTCCCCACCTTCTCGGTGGTCCCGGCTGCACAGGGCACTCGGACTGCCCTGCTCCCAGCCTGCAGACCGCGGAGCGCAGCCGCCTGCAGCTTCGGAAGTGACGTGCAGGCAACAAGCCTGGGGCCCTCAGTCTCACAGTCCTGCCCTGAGGCCCCCTCCCCGACACTCCCCTCCCCGGGGCACAGAGACCTGGGGAGACCAGGAGCACGACTGCGGCTCACTGATGCACCATCACCGACAGCCACCTGACCCATCCTTCCTGTGCCCTGTCGGACACAGGCCCCAGGCTAGTGGTCAGGGTTCCTGGAAGCCTGCAGCCTCTGCACACGGCTCCTGCAGAAGAAGCCATCAGGGTGACTGGTGCTCGGGGACTGGGCCCCAAAGGACCCTGTGTGTGAGCGGGGTACTCTCCACTTCCCTAAAAACCTCATTTCTCCCCCACAACCCCCTGGGCCCAAAATGGATGTTTCTGCTTTCTTCTGTCCAGGAAACGTTTCACACCTTCCGTCCCCTCTGCCCAAAGTGTCCTTCCTCCAGGCACGACTTGCTCCCTCACTCCTTCCAGATGCACAAACTGCACCCACAAAGCGGGGCCTCCCCTGACGGCCGCCTGTGGGAGTTCCCAGAGGACACTCAGGCCCCCTCTCACACGTCTGCCTGTGGTCCGTGTCTCCGCGAGCTGTCAGCGACAACGTGGCGGGAACATGACTTTATCTCCCGACATAACCCTAGATGGAAACCTAGACCAAGGCCTGGCACCTAAAAGGCATTCACCAAACATCGTAAAATAAATGTGTCAAATGAACACAGAAATGGCCAACCCTACCCAGCGAAAAGAGCGTTTTCTCCGT